TTCCCAGGTGCAGCACCTTGCACTTGTCTGTTGAATCCCGTCCTATTTTCCGCCCACCCCTGTAACCTGTCTAGGTCTGATTGCAGCCTATTCCTTCCTTCTAGCGTGCCCACACCCCCCCACATCTTAGTGTCATCAACAAATTTGAACAGGGTGCTTTTTACCCCCTCGTCCAGTAAGTCACTCTGAATCCTAGCCCTGTGCAAAGCGGCTAGTATTCTGTTCGGATTCATTTGATTCAGGGAACAGTGATTCGATTCGGTGGTTCAAATTACTGTCCCGAATCAATCTGGCCGAATCTGATTCAGAGATTCGACCGCATCTCCGAATCAAACCGGTCTCATCCCCTACGCACTCTTCCAGCCCTGTCAATGGCTGCCCTGCCCAGCCTCAGTGTCCTGGCACTTAAAAAAACAAAACAAAAACAAAAACAAAAAAAAAGCCCATTGATGGGGCTGGGAGAGCAGGCAGGGGTCAGGGGGCAGTCAGGTGATGGGGCCTGGTGGGGTCCCCCCATAGTTTATTCCCCTCCCTGCCCCCTACTTACTGGCATGGAGCCCAGGTCCAGCTCCCTGTGGCAGCGGGTGGGGACTGCCCGAATCGCTAAATCTTTTCCAAATCGATTCAGACCTTCTAATTGGTCTCCCAGTTCGATTCAGATTCAGAGATTTGGCTGCTGAATCGGGCCAAATGTCCTCCAAATCGAATCAGCAATTGAAGCTTTGCATGGCCCTGCTATCTACTACTCCAGGACCGAGCCCTGGGGCACTCCATTTGATACTGGCTGCCAACTAGACATTGTCCCATTGATTGCTACTCTCTGAGCCTGATGGTCCAGCCAGGTTTTTATCCACCTTACAGTCCATTCATCCAGCCCGTACTTCATTAGCTTGCCTGCGAGAATGCTGTGGGAGCACATCAAGAGCCTTGTTAAAATCAAGGTACCCCCATATCTACCAATGTCCCTGCCTCCGTAGAGCCAGTTACCTTGTCATAGAAGGCAGTCAGGTTGGTCAGGCATGACTTGTCCCTGGTGAATCCGTGCTGACTGTTCCTAATCACCTTTTTCTTCTCCAAGTGCTTAGAAATAGATTCCTTGAGGATCTGCTGATTTTTTCCAGGGGCTGAGGTGAAGCTGACTGAGTCTGTAGTTCTCTGGATCCTCCTTCTTCCCTTCCTTAAATATGGGCACTATGTTTGCCCTTTTCCAACCATCCAGGACCTCTCCTGATCGCCATGAGTTTTCAAAGACGATGGCCAGTGGCTCTGCAGTCACATTAGCCAAATCCCTCAGCACCCTCAGGTAGATCCCATCCAGCCCCATAGACTTGTACACATCCAGCTTTCCTAAGTAGTCCCTAATCTGTTCTTTCAGCACTGAGGGCTGCTTACCTCCCCAAACTGTGCTGTCGAGTCCAATAGTCTGGGAGCTGACCTTGCCTGTGAAGACTGAAGCAAAGAAGGCATTGAGCACGTCAGCCTTTTCTGCATCCTCTGTCACAAGGTTTCCTCCCCCATTCAGTAAAGGACCCACAGTTTCCCTGATCCTCTTCTTCCTACCAACATGCTTGTAGAAACCCTTCTTTTTACCCTTCACTTCCCTTGCTAGCTGCAACTCCGATTGCACTTTGGCCTTTTTTGACTTCATCCCTGCATGCCTGACCAATGCTCCTATATTCTTTCCTAGTTATTTGTCCAGGTTTCCACTTCTTATAAGCTTCCTTTTTGCTTCAGTTTACTGAAGAGTTCCCTGCTAAGCCAAGCTGGTCTTCTGCCATACTTGCTAGTCTTCCTGTACATTGGGATGGTTTATTCCTGTACTCTCAATAAGGTTTCTTTGAAGTATAGCCAGCTGTCTTGGACTCCTCTCCCCGCAAGTCTGGTTTCCCAGGGGATCCTGCCCATGAGTTCCCTGAGCGAGTCAAAGTCTGCTTTTCTGAAGTCCAGGGTCTTTACTCTGCTGCTTTCCATCCTTCCTTTCCTCAGGATCCTGAGTTCACTCATCTCATAGTCACTGCTGCCCAGGTTGCCATCCACTACTACATTCCCCACCAATTCTTCCCTGTTTGTGAGCAGTAGATCAAGAAGAGCACTGTCCCTAATTGGCTGCTCTAGCACTTGCACCAGGAAGTTGTCTCCAACTCTCTCCAAAAACTTCCTGGATTGCCTGTACACTGCTGTATTGTCCTCCCAGCAGATGTCAGGGTGATTGAAGTCCCCCATGAGAACCAGGGCCTGTGATCAGGGAAACTTCCATTAGCTGTTGGATGAAAGCCTCATTCACCACTTCCTCCTGATCTGGTGGTCAATAGCAGACATCTACTGTGACATCACCCTTGTTGCTCTCCCCTCCGACCCTAACCCAGAGACTCTCAACAGACCTATTTCCAACTTCATACTACAGCTCTGAGCAAACATACAGCTCTTTTACATAAAATGCAACTCTTCCTCCTCTTCTCCCCTGCCTGTCCTTCCTGAACATTTTGTAGCCATCCATGACAGTGCTGCAGTCATGCGAGCTCCCACCAAGTCTCTCTTATTCCACTTCATAGTTCCACAACTGTGCAAGGATGTCCAATTCTTCCTGCTTGTTTCCCAGGCTCCGTGTATTCATGTATGGGCACCTGAAGTAACTAGTTGATTACCCTAATTTCTCAGGCAGTATGAGAGCACCTCCCCTGTTGCCCCCTCTTGCTTGCTCTTTCTCCAGGTCTCCCGCTTCCCCACTTACCTCAGGGCTTTGGTGGTTGTACAATATAAATAACAACTACCTGCTACTTAAAGCAGTCTTGGCATAGCAAGTCTACTGCGTTGGAAGGGTAGGAGCCAGTTTAACAGTGCAGGGGGGCATGACCATTGAGGCGAGAATCACAAGAAATATGGTCTCGGGGTCAAAGAAAAGGTCTGAGTGACACAAGCATGAAACTGCCTGTTGGTCTTGGAATGAGGTGGCTCTAAAGCAAAAAATTAGATAAATTCCTGTGGAGTGGAGGATGAAAAGACATAGCAGGAGAAACCGGAAACATGGTGCTGAAAAGTGCTGAGAGACAAAGTCTGGTGAATAAGTACAACTCCCGCTCTTTCTAACAATAAATCATCCATATAAAGAAAAACATTAATTTGGAAATGAGCAGTTAAGCCACTTCTCTGCTGTCATTATCACTGATGGAGTCCCTTAACTGCTAATCTCCAAACTATCCTAGCACTGCCCAACTGCTTGTCAGTCCCAGCCCTTGCACAGCACTGGAGTTGATTGTTGATCCCAGCCCTGGGGCTGTACTGGAGCTGGTTCAAGATTTCAGTGTGATGTCAGGGCAGAAACCAACAGCCAGCAAGCTGTGCTCATATTATTTTCTTGGAGCAGTCTGGTGATAACTGAACATGTATTACTTAAGTGCAGTTAATACAATCATTTTGGGCATCTTTACATGTGCTCCAGGGTGGGGTGGAGGGGTGCTTCAATTAGAGCTTTAAGTATAGCGCCCACCATGTCTCGTATTCAGCGTCCCTGCACTTCAAAATGGTGGCAGGGGCACTTTAAAGCTTGTTGAATGCTGAGTACACCAGATGCCAAGGCTGCTGGAGTGTGCTAATTAGTGTTCTCTCCCGCAGAATCAATTAATTGAGTCTGCTCTGATGTGCTAATTAGCATGCACTGGAGCAGGTATCGGGCACATGTATAGGTGCCCTGTAAGTACAGTTAACACGTCCTCTAACTGTAATGTGTAACAAAGCCCTCACTAGTTGAAGTGGTGGAGTCCAGTGGGAGGTTGGGCCAAATTTCTGAAGTACTTTCTTATATATGTAAATATCTGGATATGGAAAGATGATGAGTTATTTTCGATGTTTATGTGCTAAAACTCTTTCCATTCTCTTTCTGGCTACAGAATGCAAATGCATCAGCCCCAAGCCCCCTTCCCGAAGGTGCCTATAGCAGCTATGTCCCGGGAGGAGCTGCCACCACAGAAACCATCAGCATTGCCTCTGGATCAAGTAAGAGCCACCAAAGAAAGAAGTTCAGATGAGAATTTTTCTCTTCCCTGATTAAAAAGTAAAATATTTGAAAGTGGGCTTAGAATGGGGGGAGTTAAGGAAATTCATTAAGTATTGGCAGGGAAGGAGGGGTGAAATGACATATGACATAAGGGGATCCTAGTAATCATAACTGGATCCCTGACTGCAGATTACACCTAGGACCAACTCTCCTGTTGCAAGATTTTAAAGTAGTTGTGTTACGTAAATGAGGGAGCTTTTTCTTTGTACCCTCCCCCCACCCCGCAGTAAACATTATTTTTTTTCCCCCCTTTTTCAGAGCTAGTCCACAGAGGGAAGAGCCCTGAGAAAATGAAAGCCACATGTGATTTGGACAAGGGGAAAAGGGTTGGACTCCACAACTCATAGCAGCACATAGCTTCCAGAGTCACGTGGAACATGTTGCCATGGTGGCTTTTGTGTTTTTAAACATGGAGTAGTCGTGGGTCCATGGCCAGCTGAATGACTGATCTCAACAGCAAAAGAAGCATCTCAAACTGGTGGCTTTTCAAGACTGAGGACTGTCTCTTGTTCAGGGTTTGAAGGGTTTGGGTAGGGAGGTATGGGGATTGAAATTTTCATGAACTGCTAAACTCAGGTATATTTTTTCAGGGTGGAAGAGGATGATGATGATGGAATTTACTTGTAGTATTAATGTGTGTGTTTGGAGCTGCATCCAGTTTACAGAATTTACCTGTTGCCTTTTTAAATAAATTTTTGTTGTTGGTGAATGTATTGTACATAATGGGGGGAGGGGGTGGGGCCCAATCTGTAGTGGGCATAGCACTGGGGTGATTCTTAACTGTTTACAATCATGTCACACTGAAATCTTTCAGGCTAGGGCAGTGGGGGGAAGATGATGGAACTGTTTGTAATTTTTTTAATCTTCCCCACCCTCCTTCCAGTACTCTGAGGCTGAGACACTACTCTTGAATTGATCGCAGGGATTTCTCAGGAGCAAAACATGGCACTCCACTATCTCATCCACAGGTTGAGTGCACTTCCAGCTCCTGCCATTATGGGGAACAAGGAAACCAGGACCAGGAATTGAAACCAGGACAGATCTCATGGCATTGCCCCCTAGACCAGAGTAGCAACCTTGCCTGGCAGTTGTCATCCCAGTTATTCATGTCTCAGAAAATTGCAGATGGTGCTCTGTGCTTCAGTTGAAGCAGTGCAGTTTAGAGGCGAGGTCATGGAGAAGTATCATAAAGTTAACTTTGTTGGAGCAAATACAGTGCTAGCATGTAACACCTCTCAGAACAGAGAGGAATAGAAATGTTCCCAGTTTTCTCTCAGAGCAATTTTGCTGTTCTTGCCTCCTGATACCAGCAAAGCAGCAACAGATGGATAGTCTCTCATAATTCCTGACAACTCCAGCTTGTGTGTGGGATAGGAGCATGAAACTGCTTTAAGAGAAGGGTCCATCTGATCTTTGCAAAGAATTTTTCCAACTGAGTCCCCAACTTTGACATTTGCAAGTTAGTAGATGAGGGTGAGTTGGAATTTTTTTTTTCCTAGATAAAATCATTAAGTGTGACATTCGGGAGAAGAGCAAGACTGCCTTAGGTTAGTGCAGTAGATTTTCCTGACAGAGACTTGGATTTAAATGTAGCTTTAATTTAAAAGTTAAATGAGTTTGGTGGATTTTCACCTATGACTTTAGAGAGATTTTTGTCCATTTCATAGGAAGCTATCAAGCAGGCAGAGATGCTAATCTTAGAGACAGATTGGCATTAGGGGCTAAAAAGAAGGTGGTGTTGTATAGCAAGACTGAGGTATACTGGTGAAACTATGTAGATCTCTGGTATTGATAACAGGGTGTGGTGCTGGTTAGAGTTGAGGGTATGTCTGTGCAGTGAGAAGGAGTAATGATAGCAATGAAGATGTAATAGCACAGGCTTGAGCGTGTTCTAACAATCAGAGTGTGTAACCACTTTGCTTGTTAGCACATAGTTGGTACCATTGCATCTTCTATGCTATAGCTAGATATGCTGGGTAGATTGCAATTGCACCTTCATTTGCTGGGTTATCATACCTTGAGCATCCACCAGCAGTCTATTCCACATCAATACCAGAGTCTCTGAAATGCATCCTCTGAGTGTGAAGTATTTTTGCCTAGCCCCTGTGGCATTACTAGTTCTGTTCAGAGCTCTGGTGAGTAACAAACACCCTCATCTTAAAAAAAGAAGAAAAAGAAAAAAAAAGCATTCTTTTAACTATGAGGATGAAGAAAGACTAACATTTTAATACTGTGCTTACTATTTATCCTTTCTGTTCTGTTGCTTTTTACTGCTCATAGTACAGACTGGGGTTACAGGCATTTTCTAAGCCCTGTGCCCACAAGCATAATAAGAGTGTAACTGCACCCCTTAATTTTGGTGTACTCTTTCTTACCCAGATGCAGATTGCTGTAATTTTATTCCCACTAGAGTCACAGAAGCAGTGAGTGGAAAGCATATTTATAGCACACAGTTATCTTTTCTCCGTGTTAATGTGAGTGGTGTCTGTTCACTATTATAACAACACTCAGATTATTTAGTTCATGCCCAAACCTACACCTGTAAACAAATAAATTATAGCTTCTGTGAAAGTTCTTTCACAGATCTAATTATGCAGAACATTGATTTGGCCCAGTTGGTCTTAATTGTTCTTTTTTAAAATTATATTCCGCAAACAGGCAGCAGCTATTCCTGGTAGTGTGATGTTAGCTAGAACACAGGATATATTGCACCTCACTAGAATGAATGGGAGTCAAGTAGTATCTTCCAATTCAAAACATGCTTGGTCCCATTCACTGACTAGAGATACTGAAACAGTGACAAATATTTATTAAAAATACAGATATATTCAAATTTCCAGATTATAAATCTAGGAAACGCTTTTAATATCAATTGCTTCTGCTTAGAAAATACCTTTCAGCTTATTTTAGATGGAAAGAGAACATTTAAAAATGAGGGAACTCTGTGGCAAAGTATTCTTTGAAAATCTGGAAACTGAATTCATTTTCTACAAACAACTCCTGTCCTACCAGAGTATGCCCTTCACTTGGTTGGCAGTTATCCCAAATGTTTAAAATACTTCTCAAATTACTATAAGCTCTCTGTCATTCTTTGTGGATCAGGAAAGTTTGGAAGCTATGGAGAATGCATTGAAGACCTCTGTGGGCCTGCAGCAATGAAAACTGGGTCCTAGGGGTGATCACAGTGTATAAGGATGGTCTGGTGTCAGTCTGATAACAAAAACAGTGGTGCTTTGGAGAGGGTCATCGAATGGAAAGTAGTGGCAGGGGGTTTGAACACCACGTGCATTAAGTGTGAGATGAAAATACTGTCATCTCTTGACCTAGTGGAGAAATGGTGGAGGGGAGAGAAGGAACAAATGTGATCTACATATGGACAAGAGACAGGATTTTGTAGTTGATTCATTCTAGGAAGGTCTCTGGTTGGGTAAGTGGCTCCAGTAGGATGTGTAGTTTATATAGAATCAAAGCATTGGCTACAGTTGTGATGGCCCATGATTTATGTTAGAAATGTACATAAAGGAACCATGATTAGGATATAGGAGCAGGATGTACCGGGTTAGAAAGAGAAAGCTGTTTGTGGAATCTTAATTTCTGATTATCAAACATTTTGTAAATATATGTTAATTTTATTACAGCACTGTGGAATCCCAGTAAAGTATCAGAACTTCATCTCACTAGGTGCTGTGTGCCCTGTTTGTAACTTACTCACTCCCTGCCCTACAGGGCATGCAGTGAGCAGGATGGGAATCACAGGGATGGAAGGGACCCTGCAGGTCATCTGGTGTTTCCCCCTACAACTGCAGATATGCACATCCTAAATCATCTCTCTCTAATGCTTATTCAGTCTCCTCTTGAAGTCCTCCAGTGAAAGAGATTTTACAACTTTCCTGAGCAATGTGTTCCACTGCTTTACTGTCCTAATAATAAGGAAGTTTATCAAGAGATTTAGTCAAAATCTACTTGGCTGCTAATTAAAGCCATTGCTTTGTCCTACCTTCTGCAGTAAGGAAGAACAGTTGTTCCACCTCTTCTTTATGGCAGCCTTTCAAATATATGAAAACTGCAATAATCTCCCCCTTAAGTCTCCTTTTCTCTGAGAATAATATGCCTGGCTCACCCTTTCCTCCTGTGGCTTGCCTTCTTAACTCCATTATCATTTTTGTTACCTGCATCTGGACCCTCTCTAATTTATCCACATCCTTCTTAAAATATGGAGTCCAGAACTGTACTCTAAATGAGATCTAATCAGTGCACTAGAGTGGTAATATCACCTCTGGTGTCTTAAACCTAATGCTTCTTTTGATGAAACTGCAAACTGCATTTGCCTTTTTTGCAACTGCATTACATTGCTGACTGATTTTAAATTTGTGATCCACTGAAGTCCTCAGATCCTTTTCAGCAGTCCTACTGCTCATCCAGTTTTCTTTCACCCTGTATTCGTGCATTTGATTTATTCTTCCAACTAACGTTGTGCCCTACATTTTTCTGCAGTGAACTTTATTCTCTTCTCTCTAGTCCAGCTCTCCAATCTATCAGAATCATTTTGAATTCTACTCCTGTCCTCCAAAACGTCTGCAATCCTTCTCAGTTTTGTCATCCACAGACTTGATTAGAAAGTGCTGTCTTCTATCTAGGTAATTAATAAACAGACTGGGGACAGACTCCTGGGAAACTCAATTGAAATCCCCTGCTGTTCTGAGATTTGATCCGTTTTAATACCCTCTGTTTGCAGGTATTGAGCCAATTATGTATCCTTCTTATAGTAATTTTATCTAGCCTGCAATATCCAGTTTACTTTTGTTGAATGAGACTTTATCAAAAGCCTCTAACTTGGTTTGGCACAGTTTGCTCACAGCAAATCCATGCTGGCTGCTAGTGATCAGCTTTTCCTCTTCCAGATATTAACAAATTGACTATTTTTATAGTTTGCTCTGGTAGCTTCTTGGGTATTGAACTTCCAAGCTGACCAATCTATAACTCTCCAGATCTTCCTTTTTCCTCTTGTTAAAGATGGGCACTATGTTAGTCCTTTTCTAGGCCTCTGAAACCTCTCCTGTCTCCTCCACCTTTGTTAAGACCTTATTTTTCTCATATCCCTGGTGCCTTCAAATCAGATGCACATCTTGTTTTGGGAAGGCAGAATGAAAAAAAAAATCCCTTTGAGACTGAATGCTAACTGCAGGGGATACTGACCACAAATGCTGTATTCTGTGAGAGGGTTAATACTATAGCTCTGTCTTTGAAAGGTGAATTCTGCCTCCTCTTTCCTTGAAGCTGGCAGAGAAAGAAGCAGCATAGCAATCATCTTGCAGTAATGTCTGCTTGTTTCTGTTCTTTCTTGCTTCTATTCCAGCAAAGAAAAAATTATTTTCCTTGCTCAAGACATGCATCCCAGTTTTGAAGGGTTGATTCTTGGGAAAACTATATGTGTGGTATGCAAGTAAGTATGGTAATATTGCCAGTGGATCTAAGATCCCTTCTGCCAGTTCCTTCGGGACCCTGAGATGAATTTCATCAGGCCTGCCAACTTAAATTCAAATTAAACAAAAATTCTCTAATGCTCTCTTTAATTACCATGCTGCGTGGCCTTTCCTTTTCTTTGTCTTTATTCTTTTTGTGAGCTGCGTGGTTGCAGCTTTTTGTGAAAAACTAAGACAAAGAAGTTAATTGAGCAACTCCATTCCTCATACTGCTTGTATTTGCATA